TTAATTTGAGTGCTGGCAGATATTATGGGAGTGGCTTGATGGAGCGCAGGAGATGCAGATAACATGATCTTGACCCTTAAGAAACTTTAATTAATGCTGTCACTTAACAAATCTGTTCAAAGATAAAATTAAATTTGAAATATTAATTGCTAATTACTACATTGAAATACAAATGTAAAGCCTGTACAAATATTAGAAATCGTGAATTTGGATGAACTGCCTTTAACTGAAAAATGAGTGTTTACTATTGTCATTTTTGCATTATTGACACACTATTTTCCTAATTAATGCTGTTCAGTTGCTTTGACACAATCTGTATTGTTAAAAGCGCTATATAAATAAAGGTGACTTGACTTGACTTGACTTAAAAAGGTCCAGAAATCTGTCAACTTTTTTAAGGAGCTTGTTGCACACCGTTCAGTAATGGGAAATGCAAGCCGCATGTCATCAGTTCAACGCTCACAAGGACTTGTGTACATGACAGTCTCAGCCACAGGAAGAGAAGACAGCGATAGAAGCCTGTTCAGAACGGGCACGGTCCAAACGCTGGCATGCTCTGACAGTTCAGCAGTTAAATGACACACACAATAAAGAACGACGGCACTCCTAACTCCCCGTCCCTACTTACTCTCACGCTGTCCCCGCTATCTATCCATCTATCTTCATCGCCGGCGGCCCTAAACGACCACGAACGACACCCTCCCAACAATATCTGAGTACCGCCGTCCTATTTCGGCTTGTAAATAGACCGACAGCCAGCCCGCATCCATTCTCTTTTGCACTCTTTTTAATCCTTCTCACCCCAGTCTCTGAATACACAGATCACACCGTTCCCCAATCAGCCTCATTCATTAGTTGTCAATACGATATTCCAAACACAACACACATCACAATACACAGCCCAGATAGCACATGTACGTCTGCAAGACGTAACAACTTTTTAATGTTAAAAACAGTTGGTCCAATAATTTTATGAATTCAGGGATTTTAGGCTAACTGGTACATGTATCAATTTTATTAATTGGGATCACAATGTAGCAATGTAGGGGCAGTTTCAGAAATACTGCAATAATGTTCCTATGCCATCTTTACATTTTAGGCATGTAAAGGATGAATGTGAGGGGTCAATTTTATTAAGTTTATATGAAGTTTTGTGTTTAAATGAAATATCCTGTAGTATAAAGTGTGGAAAAGCTTTCAGCTCACTTTCCTCAGTAACAGTCTCCAAATCTCCATGTTCTTCTGTGATTATTAAGTATACCTCTTAGATCCTGTAAACGTAAGATCAACTGAAGCCCCTCAGTGTTGAGCCTTATAAGTGTTCAGATCTTTTAAAATATAATAGAGAACTTATTACTAACAAAAAAAAATGATTCTCAGAAATTCCATATTCATCTGTAAACAGGGGGAAACACAATTCTGTATTTATCTGTAAACTTAGTAAATGTCATTAAATACATCAGTAAATCAATAAATTCAGTTTAATAGATGTTTATCAGTTCTCTCTTTGCTGCCCCCAGTGGACGAATCCAGAACTACCTGGAAAGTTCATGAACTTGCTGGTGCTGATGAACACGCCGTATGAAGCTGAGCGACTCACAGAACTCGAGACAAATCTAAAAGCCTTTCGACGCCACCAGAGAGACTGAGGAGCAAAACAAGAGCACAAAAGCCACTGAAAATGTTGAGCCTGCATGGATTCCAGCCTTCCCTCAGCTCACTCATGGGAACTGAGTGGCCAGTGCGCAGTCTCTGGCCGGAGATCACATCTCTTTACAGACACACAGACATTCTGCTGGAGCTGAAGAAAACTAAAATAACGACTTTATTCAACAATTCGTCTCCTCTGTGTCTCTCCACATCACCATAGCGTGAATAGATGAATTGTTAAATAAAGTCGTTATTTTTGTTTTCTTAGCGTACAAAAAGTATTCTCGTCGCTTCATAACGCTATGGTTGAACCACTGATGGCAGATGGACTATTCTGACGATGGCTTTCATACTTTTCTGGACCTTGACAGTGTAATTTACTTGGCAGTCAATCGGACAGTCACAAGCCTCCCGGTTTTCATCCAAAATATC